GATATGTTTCATATGTTTGTTGTTGTTTGATTTATCATCTACGGGTTTATGTCGAATTAATTTGATGGCCTGCTCCCAGTTGGCTTGTTAGCTCAATTGGTAGAGCGCTGCACTAGTATCGCAGAGGTCAGTGGTTCGAATCCCGTACAGGCCTGAAATTTTTTTCAGGTCTGATTTTCACTATTGCTCAAATAGTGCTTTACTGCGAAGGATCGTTCACATATACGTCTCATAACCGCAGTTCATACATATGTTTCATATGTTTGTTGTTGTTTGATTTATCATCTACGGGTTTATGTCGAATTAATTTGATGGCCTGCTCCCAGTTGGCTTGTTAGCTCAATTGGTAGAGCGCTGCACTAGTATCGCAGAGGTCAGTGGTTCGAATCCCGTACAGGCCTGAAATTTTTTTCAGGTCTGATTTTCACTATTGCTCAAATAGCGCTTTACTGCGAAGGATCGTTCACATATACGTCTCATAACCGCAGTTCATACATATGTTTCATATGTTTGTTGTTGTTAGAGTTATTCTTGTTTCCCTGATACGTTGAAAGAAATAAAGTTTAAGTAAGATTTATTGAGATTTTCAAAGGTCATTTAAACTTTCGCCAATTTAAGCCTCCATTTTTCTCATGTAAGAAAGATCTTAACAAAGAAGAGTGTGCGTCGTATCGTGCAGTCTATCGAAGAGGACAGCTGGGACGTCAACACAAATCAGGTTTTTCTCACTTAATTAACCAAGGTTACTGTTAACACAATATTTGTTTTGACTATTATTTTGATTCGACTTAGAGCGAAAGTCAGTTTTGTTGTCTTTCGTAACTACCGCCGCGATTTCTAAGTTTTGTTGAGTAAAGCATTTTGATTAGAAGGAAAACATCTAAGATTTCGAATTCAAGCTTTAGATGTATTGTGACACATTGTAAGTCGAGTTTCCTCTGACGTATTTCCCATCCCTCTGACGAACCGATATGGGTGAAACAACAAAATCTCAAAACACAAAAAGAAGTGACAACTTATCCCGACCGATCGGGGTGGGGGAGGGAGAACGGCAAGCTGGTAAGTAGAGATGGGTACTACACTCAACTCTAACCGACATTTGAGGTATGGCAACTATCAGATCACTTTTTCTTGATAAGCACAGCCACCCATTACCCCCTCCTCCCCTCTCTTCCTTCTTAGCTGCACCCTAGCCAATTCTTCCGTGAAATTCTACACACACAAAAAAAGAAAACGAATAAAGATGGTAGTATCAAGCGACTTTATTTTCTGGCATAATTACAGTATTTTCGTACTAACAAAGACAAAGTTCACCTACTTGCTCATAAAGCTGAAAAGAGTCATGTCACCATATCGTGCCATGACAAAAAAACGCAAAACAACAGCACTGCAGTTTGACTAAAGAGACGATATTTCCAAAGAGCTGTTTGGTTCCATTTGATCGCCTGGGCTATTGACTGATTGAAACATATTGTTTCCTAAATTGAACAACGGACTACTTGAACAACAAACATCTAAGTACCTGCAAAGGAAAAGAATGTGAAACCGGAAAAAGTGTAAAAAGGAGTGGTTAGTTTATTTTCCTGATAGGAACTTGTCTCCTAAACTCATCGTCCTTCTCTAACTAGATTAAAACAAGCCATATAATCTCCCATGTGCCAAATTAGAATTTTAAACAGTTGCTTCTATGGCAAAGAAAATGGCGAAGAAAGATTACGCACCCACAAATGCATCGTTCGTTAAAACGTTAGACACCTCTCATAATCGATATAATCAAGTACACAAGTTTCTGTAATTTTTCATAAATACAAAAACGTACCAGAAAAAAAGTGCTTGTGTATCCAGCGTTTACGACGGAGTCCAATTATTGGGCCGAATTTTCATCTCAGCCCTTTTCGCCGAGTAACGGTACCCCTTCCAGGTCTGCCAGTTTACCCCGTTAGCGTAAGAGGAATGGGCTCCATGAAGATAAGCACCGTTCAAATTGGAAGAGTGGCAGCTGCTGTACCACCAAGCGCCATGGAACTCAGTAGCACAATTACCGCTATAAACATCATTGTCGCGATCCTTTGTGGAGAACGACATACTTTTGTGCCCGGACAGCGAATCACCGGCAGTTCCTACAATTGGAAAACGATTCTAGACCTGAGTTCTGTTTGATCGATAGCTCATAGCTCACCAGCGAGTGAGGATTATTAAGCTCAAGTCCTTACAGC